GCTCAGAGAACCCCAAGGACTTCACAGTTCAACCCTGAGCTACACATATTTGCTTCTATTGATCTGATCTGGCTATTTAGAAGATTTTTTTTCTGATAGGAGAAGCTAGAGGTTACTGCCCGACAGTCAAATACAGTTAACAGCAACTTTCTTATAGCTTCTTTGATCTAGAGTTGGCCCAAAAAGATAAGGAAGAATTTGAACTACCGGATTTGTTCTGAAACAAATTGTTTGGATTCATCTTTCTTTCTTGACGTTCCTTTGTAATTCTTTAGGCCAATGATTTACTACACTGATACAGAGGTTGGTGACATTTTCTGGTCCCACCCCACCTCCAAACTGCTATTTTGCAAGATCTTATGTTAGTCCATTTAACTCTTGCTAGTTTTTGGTGTTCACGTGTAAAATTTCACAAGATTTTAGTAGTCTTGCAAAATCTTATATGTGACCACAGAGATCTCATGAAATGTCATGCTCTTGAAATATTTAGGAATTTTTATTTTATTTTGTGGATCCAGGGCCCCTCTTCAGGATCCAAGGAGATTCCTGGCACTTGGACGTATTGTATTGTTGACTTCTTACTTAAGATATGATGTGAAACAAGTGCCATTTGAAAGTGCTGAAGGCCAGAATGAAAGGCTCACTTTGATGACTTTTATCCATGATTTTTATCTCATTAGAGCATCTGTCACTGTTTTTTGTACCAGCCCCCTCCCCCCTCAAAAAAGAACAGAATTCACTGGCTCATTCTTTGAGCTGATTAAAAGCTGCCAGAAGAAAGAAAAGAACACAGAACTTTCCTGTGAAGTTTTCAGATTCAGACTCCTGCAGTATCTAAACTAATAGGACAATGTTATCCAAGGCCAAACCTCTTCTAGTAGTCTAATGAGACTTCACTTCTTCTTATTTAACCTTTTATCCCCCAAAATCACATCAAACTGAAATAGATTTCGGTTTGAGAAAATGAGAGGTGCTGACTATTTGATTAAAACAACATACCTCCTTGCCAGCCCAAAGTCAATAATCTTTATTTGATTTGCCTCTCGATTCACACACAAGATATTCTCAGGCTGCCAGAAGAAAGAAAAATGCACATTTATGAGAAATGGTGAATGAAATGCTCTGGGATCAGCGTTAAAAATACAACAGAGCATAAAAATATGCATCTGGGTGCTGGCGTCTTAAAGCAGGTTAGGCTCTGTGGATACGTCAAACTATAATCATGTGGTATTTGAGGCTGGGAACACTCCACCAGGGCAGCATTTCCCTTGTGGTGGCATTTCTGTTTGACATAATACAGCAATTTGAGATAAAGAATTCATTAGTGAGCTTTCAGAAAGGAAATGAAAGCACTCTGGTTGGTTTCAGGAAGTCAGGGACTGTAATTTGCAGCCCATTATGTGCTGATATTGGGATATTTCAGAAAACATTTCTTTAATATTTCTCTTTCTATTTGGACTTCTTAGTTTATTCTTCAACAAACCAATATATGCTTGATTAATGCCAGGCAACTTTGTAGGCTGTGTAGATATTAACTAAGAGGGAAGACTTGTAGAGCTACTGTAGGTGAACAGCGAAATTATTCAAATCCTGGTCTTATCAATTCTGCTTCATAGATTAATGATGGACTCAAACTTTCAGATGTTACTTACAAGTTTACCTAAAAGGGCAGCTTTTTTTTGTGATTTCAGCCTTCAAGCCCCCACCCCTTGCACTTCTTTTTTTCCAAATTTCCAAATATTTACATACAAATAAATCATGAATGTTCATGTCATAGGAATACTCCAAAGTAAATTCTGAGCTAAATCCCCAAACCAGATAAAATACAGAATTAACCAGATTTTCATCCAGTTACACACATAAAATAAATAGTTCTACATCTTGATACAACTAGGTAATGTGGCAAACTGGTATTCTACTAGGCAAATTGGTAATTAAAAACTACTTCATCCAATGAAATAAGTATCAACAAAAAGGAAAAATTGATATTGTCCCACTTCAATTCCAGACTTGGTGGTCTTTGGAAACTGAGGTTTGGCATGAACAAAAATTAGATTTTCCTTTGGCCACAGGCAACTGAGTATTTCCTAATGGTTTCAATGTTATAGAACTGAAAATAGATTGATGTCCAAGTAATATAATATGCATTAACTCTCACCAAAAGTTATTCAATTATTTGGGATCGCATTCAGCAAGCTAAATGGCCAAATGCATAGCTCTGTTTTAGAGACAGCCAAGGCACTGGTTGCCTAAATAAACATATAGCATACAACAAGACCCAATAGCCGCTCTTCCTAGAGGAAAACAGTTTCAGGAGCAGATCTGGGTTCAGTGGAGAGTATGGTTTGATGTCTGCTATAGCCTCACTATCAAATGTATGCCTTTTAAATTCCTACTGTTTATGGTAAGTTGATGGAACTCCTCCCTGATGCCATCATCCATGCACTCAATCTCTTGCCTGAAGAATTTAGGCTATAGGAATTGTTATTTCCTTGCTATCAGCAACTATCTTTCTCAGCTGTCCTGAGGGTCACCATATCAAAAAAGGAAGGAATACTGCAGAACAGAGAGCAGATTCAAGTTCCCTAGCACCTGAACTTCACTCTGCTTTTTAACACCATAGCACATTCGAAGAATGTGAGTACAGGTAGTCCTTGCTTAACAATTGTTTAACAACAGTTCAAAGTTATGATGGCCTCCCAGAAATGCTTTACGATCTGTACTTACACTTAGTACCATCACAAACTGTTGCATCCCCCTGTGGTCACATGATCATGATTTGCAACCTTTTTTACAATGGTCATTAAGTGAGTCCCCATGATTGTTAAGCAAATCACATGGTCATTAAGTCACCAGATGACTGGACCTGATTTTATGACCATTTTTATGGTGGTTGCTAAGTGAATCACATGGTTGTTAAGTGAATCATGGTCATTATGTGAATTCCAGCAAAAAATGTCCATTGGGGAAGCTGGATTCACTTAACAACCATGTGATTCACTTAACAACCATCATATAAAAATGGTCGTAAAATTGGGTCCAGTCACGTGCTGACTCGCTTAATGACTGCCCTGCTTAATAACCAATTTTCCAGTCCCTATTGTAGTAATTAAGCGAGGACTACCTGTATTGCAATCACGCAGGAAACAGAAAGGTTGCTCCCCAGAATGATTGATCTTACAGAGGGGGGGTCACTTTAATTGCTTTTCTTGTGGCCTTTGGATCTTCTTCTGACTGATTCATTGAAATTTGGTGGATTATTGCTAAAAACAGTAGTCCTCACCCTGCAGTAGATGGTCTACCCATTGCCTACAAGTTCTAAGGGTAGAGTACAATCTGGTTCTTACTACTATTCCCACTCTTAATATGCTTTTACGGTCTGAAAGTTGGGTCTATTTATGTTACTCAATGCTCCAAATCCAAAAGGGTCATCAAGTGCAGTGATAATACTGAGTTCTAAGGTTTTCAGCCTAGTATGTATATTCTTTGCATAGGAAGTACAATAAATGCACAGAACCTTCAGATCCAAATGGAGAATATACATTTGATGCATGTATTGAATCCCTTCACAGATCTGCTTTATGAATAAGATGGCATCCATCTCTGTCAAGTTGCAGTCCTCATCAATAATCCGATCAAACAGTTCTCCTCCTTCCACACTGAAAAGAGAGACAGATAGAAAGACTTAATTCATAATTTAATGTGCTGAAGATTCCACATTCAAGGATAATATTCTCCAATCTGGCACCCTCCAGATGTCTGTACTATCTAGAATTATAAGAGAATGCTGGAATTGGGGACGGCTGGTCAGGGATGTGTGCTTCCTGTGTGAGTGTATACATGCACACATAGACCTTCATGAATTGTGTATGTACAAAACAAACTGCAATGACTGTTTCAGGATTTGGTTATTATATGATTTAGAATATAGTTTTTAACAGTAATTCCAAAACAAACTATGAACAGACTTACGTTTATGGAAGGTGGTGAATGTCAAGAGATTTGGGATAGATATGCAAACAGTTTTGAATAAGTAAACAATTATTGTATCATAGATGAAAAATATAAGTATGGCATGTATTCTATACATAGTAGAGGTCTATCTTGGTATTCTACAGGCAGAGAGAGATGACTGGTTTAAGAATATGGCCTTCTTATACATTAATGATATACTTCAGTAGTAAAGCACATGTTTTACATGCAAAAGTTCAACCTTGATATCTCCAAGCAGAACTGAAAAAATTCCTGTCTGAAACCGTTAAACTGGGTTTGTTACATCCAGGATCTGATTCAGAACAAGGCAGCTTTTTAAAGCCACTTGATCATACCAGCTACAGTCGTTCTACCACTGCCAGTGATCTGTGCATTGACTTTGTTCCCCCAAAGCTATGGGTTCACCTGCACTGAGAATGGGTCTCTGCAGTTGTAGCTCTACAGCTACATCCATCCATGCATAGAGGACCTTGGTATGGCTGCCAGATGTATCTATATACGATGGTCTGCAATACTTTCATTCTTTGCCTAAATGTATAAAGGTGGTAATGACTTGCCTACTGCAATTCAGAAATAATTTGTTTCCCAGAAGAATACTTCTTTTTTCCCAATGAAAGGTAGTATGGTTTATCTTCTTTTTTAAAAAAGCCAGTTTGTCGTCAGATGCATTGCTATTACTGTGAGTTATCTGCGTTTCTTCATGTTTTTAGCTGTGGTTTTATTGCTGGATTGTAATTACTTTCAGCTTGTATAAAGGCAAGGGGAATTGTTGAAATCAATAAATACATCCAGCATATAGTAGTTGAACCATCAAATGCTATGGATATCCCTTGCTATATTTTCAAAGCAATTTTGCTTTGCAGACATTAGCGGCAATCCAGAATGCTGGGTACAAGGGCAGGTATACATTGGGGCATCAGCAGCAATGCTATGATGGGGTCAACTCTGCACTACATAGGGAGGGTACTCAACCACAACTCCTCTTTCTCCCATACAGTTCGCATGCAGTAATGCTGTAAGGATTCTGCCAAATACATGCTACCAGGTCGTAAATGCCTATTACTTATTTTTATGTATGTGTCCTCCTTGCAAGCTTCACACATACATATTTCACTGAAAATGTTACCAATCCAGTTCATATTCCCAACTTCACCCTGCCCCTTTTCAGGATACCCTCTCCTTGTAAAGTTGCATGTAAAAGTTTAAACACCCAATCAAATTGTATGTTTCAATCCATCTCTAAGTAAACAGAAGTTGATCCAACCTCTGCATTGTTTCTCATTTTGAATCTGTAAACAGCTGAACATAAATAGTAAGTATGGATTCAAATTTGCAGAAAGATATGATGTTTAACCCTGTAGTATGTAGAGGTGGTGTCAGCTTCTGATTGTTGAAATATGACTAGTGGTGCATAATTGTTACATGCAACGGTATATGGCCTATATTATCGTCCCTTTTTTTGTTTGTCTTGGTTCACTGTGCCCCTAACAAAGCAGGTGATCTTTGCTTCAAATGTAGTTGGTTATATAGCACGTTCAAAAATAGTCTTATGCATGTGGGAATGTGTTATATGTCTGTCTGAATGTAACTGGTTTAAAATGCAGAAGTTAACATTTGGAGTACCCTAATGCTGCATATTCAGTATCCTTTAAATGCTCTGCAGATAACCAAGACTTTCCCTCTTAGTGGATCCTTGTTCCCATACTTATTATTTTTTAGGACAAAAATTAAAGATAATCTTGGTGATCTTTATGAAGGGGAAAAAGAGCCCAAATCCATAACTGGGCATACTTTGTTTAGGATCAGGCAAAATGCCACAGAAAAATATGCAAGGATTCATATTCTCCAGAATCGTTTATTATAAAATCACCTATTTAGGGTAATTTGCTTGATTCTAATAAAGGAATTGCCTAAATGTGAATTTAGAATACTTTTCTCCCTAGAACTTACTTCTCTTCTGTCACTATGTAATCTCTATAAACCTGTTCCAAATTATAATAATTATAAATTATGTCAGAGGAAAATGGAAGATGCAGGCTGGAACTGAATGACTGTGTAATCTATAGAGGTTGTCTATCACAGCAAATTGTCTTTGATCTATATCCTCTATGCTCCCATAAAATATAACTACAGGGAGTTTAGCACACTATTGACTCAGTAGGGAATGAGGAGGATCACATCAAATGCTTTGGCTGCAGACACAGCTAAGAAAGAGAAGCAGAACAAACATTTGACTGATACATACTATTCCATTATAAGCACAACGTCATTTTTTGATTCAAAAGCATCATACAGCTGAATAAGGTTCACATGAGTCAACTGATTCATTACATTAATCTCATTCTTCACTTCATCCTGCAAAGAAAAGAAGAATGTTGTTACATTTGAGGAGAATGTAGCAAAAATCTTGATGCCATCTTTAGTATTGTTGATTTCCCATGCCTCCATGTATTAGTTATCCACCACTGAGCTCTTAAAGCATCCTTTTCCAATGCAATGCCATCCCAAAGTGCTGAACTTCAGCTGGTGGAAATATCCACCACCAACATTCAACAACGGCCAGATCAAGTTTCATTAAAGTTTATTTGGTGGCAATAGTGGTCCAGACTATGCATGGCAATAGAGTACATACTTTGCCCAAGTCTCCAGTTCTATCTCTGGCATTGTAAGGTTAGAGATCAGATAGCAGAAGTGATAGGAAAGACTTCTCTCTAAGAACTTCAAGAACAACTGCAATCCAGAGGAAGCCATGACTGTCATTCTTTAGGCATCTACTCAGGTAGACATGAATAGCACTGCTTTGTCTGCTGAGCTAGAAGTACTTTGAACTACTAAGGCAGCTTTCTAAGAAAATGGGGAAAAACCCTGCTTTATATTGTTGGTTAAGTGAATATAGGTTAAGCTGGCAAGTTGAACACTGATGCTGGTCCAGAGAAAGACCAGAGAAAGCAGCTGTGTTGTGTCCAAGGCTAGGAAAAGAATGTCTAAGAGTCTTTACATGAAAGAACAGGAGGAAAAAGTTTAAGAGTTAAATCCTGGGTCTTGCTTGCTTAGAGAGATGTAGAGAGATAATTCTGTGTTCTGCACCAGGCTGATCTGTGTGTATATGATTTTTTCTTGTCTAAAATAAAGTGACATATCTAGGAGAAGAATCAATTGTTTAAGTTTCTGTTATTGCCAAGTTCCTAAGTGTAGGCTTAAATTTCTGGAACAATAGAGAATTACAGCTGTGACTGACCTAAGGTCTGATAGTCTCTTTCAACTTGAGTCAACTCCTAGCAACCTTATGGATACATCTAGATTTTTTTCTTGACAACAGTGTGGATGTGGCTTGCCATTGTTGTCTTCTGAGTTTTTGTTTTTTACTACTTAAATCTAGTTTATAGCATGATATTCTTCTGTAGTCTCCCACCCAAGTACAGGACATGTTTAACTTCCAATCCCAGAGACAGAATGTTGAGGCACTCTGCAATGAACATTTGCTAAATTGTTGTTGGACAAAGAGCAAGAGCTGAGAAAATAGAGTAAGATTTTTGTTGTTAAAATAATAATGTGAAAGAAATTACAACAAAATAACCTTTATTTATGATCTCAACTTTATAGATTATCTAATTTGGGAGGGGGGGTTGAAATGGAGATTTCAAAGGCTACTGTTTGTACAAATGTCTATTCACACAGAAAGCATATGAGGGTCCATATGACCCATCTGGAAAAGTTTGTCCAGGTGGAACCAAGTCAGTGGATAATGAAGCCCCACACGATGCTGTAAGGTGTTATTCAAACTCCACTTACCTTTTCCTTTACATTCCTGGCTTTTATAATTTTGGCTGCTAATTTGAGACCTGTCCCTTTTTCTTCACATTTATGCACCTGGCCAAATCGTCCACTAGAGAAAGAAAAAGGAAAGCATGGCTGAATTCAGGCCTCATGCAACTTTTCATTTCATTTCCTTTGGGGTTGGGATGGTCTTAGTGTTAGGACAATAAATTGCCCTGCAAGGCTGCTGTTATATTCTTGTTAAAAGATTATAATAAATGGTTTAGGAGACCAGCAGTGCCTGGGCATGATGGCTCCTTTTGTTTCCAGATCAAAAGCAGAAGAGGAGCAAGAAAGAATAACAATGCCCAGGCTTCTGGCCAATCACTGTAGTAATCAGGGTGCTGGACAAGATAGTCCTTTAAGAGCAGCAGACCTTCTGATGTTCTCAGCTTTCCTTCTCATCAAACTGCCATTCTCTGAGGTAGAACATAGAACAATGGTTCCTTTTTAGGACAGGATGGGATAGACCATTTGTTTTGTATTGTGATTTGATTTGATTGGTAATAGCAAGGGCTTCTGGAACTGGAAGACACCAGAATACCTCAGGTCCAGAAATCATCAGCTTTCTGTTCAGTCTTCCAGTTAAAATATGTAAGCCACTGTTGTTCTGGACTAGGATGTTCTGTTCTGGACTAGGTTTATTGCTTCATCCAATTTACACTTCTACCTAATCTGCACTATAGTAATCTAGGACAGTATCCAGTTGTTGTTGATCTGATTATTTTAAGAGATTCCTCACTGAATGAACTATGGTTTTGGCTGAACTTACCCTCCCAAAACTTCACGCTTGAAGATATGGTAAAAGCTATTGATCCCAGCTCTTTTTGCTGAGACAATCCGGTGATCAAAAGGGGCAGGTGGTGGTGGGGTTTCGTCTACAAATGATAAGAAACACAACACTCATTTTTGCCACATCCAATATGAACTGATGAACTTATTGCATTCCAAAAAGCAACATGCACATACACACACACAGCTATAACATTCTATGTTTTGGGGGTGTTTTTAATGATACAGTGGGAAGAGGGGTGTAAGGGACAGACAGAGACTAATAGAACAAAGACAGAGACTGAGTTCTAGGATGGCTGTTTCTATCCATCCATCCATCCCATGGTCATCCATCTGGATTTCTACCTAAGGCAGGACTAGAACTCAGAGTCTCCCAGTTTCTGGCCTGCTACCTTTAACCACTACACCAAACTGGCTCTGACCTTATATAGAGAGTTTAAATAAAAATAAAATAATCTCACAGTTATTGGAAAGACTGTATCAAAATGATTTGTGTGCTTTTTCAGTTTTTGTTCAGGTGTTAAATGTTAATGAGCAAATCACTGCTTTCCCTTCTTTGAGGTCTTAATCCTGTGCACTGTTGCAGTGTGGCATCTTTTGCTCTGTCTGCGGAAAAGACTTTTACATACATGGGGTTAGGCTTTACCTCTTAGTAAAGTCAACCTTAATTGTATCCAAGAAGCATGAACATGGGAAAAGCTCAACACAGTGAAAGATGAAATGAAACGACTACAAATTGCCTACTTAGGCATCAGCAAATCAAGATGGACTGGGATTGGACACTTTCAATCAGAAGATCACACTGTTTATTATTCAGGACAAGAAAATCAAGGAAGCAACAGCACTGCCTTTATAATTAGGAAGGGCATAGCAAGAATAGCATTTGGTTACAATACAATCAATGATAATATCAATTAAACTTCATGGACAACCCTTTAATATGATGATCGTTGAAGTTTATGCTCCAACCACTGATGCAGAAGAAGAGGAGTTTGATGAATTTTATGATCAACTTCAATTTGAAATCAACAGAACATGCAAGCAACATGTGCTGCTTGTGACTGGAGATTAGAATGTCAAAGTTGGAAACGTTAAAGAGGAAAATGTAGTTGAATTGTATGGCTTAGAAAACTGAAATGAAGCAGGAGACCAACATATCAATTTCTGCCACTCCAATGAATTCTTCATAGCTAACACTGTCTTCAAACAACCAAAATGATGCCTTTAAACATGGACATCACCAGATGGAGTATATAGAAATCAAATTGACTATATTATTGCTAAAAGGAGGTGGAGGAGCTCAGTTATAGCATCAAAGACATGGCCAGGTGCTGACTGTGAAACAGATCATGAACTACCCATGTGTAAGTTCCCCGTTAAGCTAAAAAAGACTAAAAAAGCCAGTGAGTTTCCACAATATGATCTTGAACATATACCCACCATTTTCAAGGAGAATCAGGAATCACTTTGAAATCCTAAGCCTCATTGATTAGAGAACCAGAGGAATTATGGAATGAACTTAAAGAAGTTAAGGATGAATGTGAAAAGAGACTGAAAAAAATGAAGAGAAGAAAGCAAACTGGATGTCAGAACAAACTGTGGAAATTGCCAAGAAGAAAAGAAAAGCCAAAGCCAAGAAAGACAAACATCTCAAAAAGAAACTTAACAAAGAGTTTTAGAGAGCACTTGATAGAGCAGCCATGAAGGCCTTGGAAAAGATATTCAAATGCTATGATGTCTCTGTAACTACAAAGAACAGAATCATGCATGCCATGGTATTCCCTGTGACACTCCATGGAAATGAAAGTTGGATTTTGAAGAAGCAGGATAGAAAGTGTATTGACACTTTTGAACTTTGGTGTTGGAGAAAACCCCTGAGAATACCATGGACAGCTAAGAAAACAAACCAGTGGATCATCAACCAAATCAATCCAGAGTTCTCACTTGAGGCACAAATGATCAGGCCCAAATTATCCCACTTCAGACTCATTATGTGAAGCCCCAGCTCTCTGGAAAAGGGTTAGGGTTAGGGTTAACCCTAATGTTGGGAAAGGTAGAAGGAAAGAAGAGGATGAACAGCAACAAGGTGGACAGACTCAGTTATGGTGGTGATGAGTGCACCATTGGAAGACCTGAAAGACCAGGTTAGAGATAGATTGTCATGGAGAAAATCTGTGTTGTCACTAGGAGTTGAAAACCACTTGATGGCACATTTAATTACAATTTAATTTAATGTTAAAACAACTTGCTTCTATGCCTATATGTTTAGCAAAGCCCAAACCTTATTAATTGGCAGTCAGTAAATCAATAAAAACATTTAAGAAACACCCAAAAGGACAAGAAGAGACAAGAAAACAGGTAGCACTAAAACTTGTTTACTTCCTCATCCTCAGATGAGATTTTCAGCCAGTGTAAGTAACAATCCAAATGTTATTCTTCTATTAATAGAAGAATGTAGAAAATGAAATACAAAGGCATTCATTTTGCTTGCAATGTTTATATATTTTGTGTATTTTTAAAGCCGTATTCTACCAATTATAAAATTATTCCCTTTTGAAGCTTCTTTCTTCACTTTGCTTTTGTCGCCAACCGTTGATTTAGATCCCACTGTTTTTCCAGGTAAGGCGGGCTCCCCTGTTCTTGGCTTAGCTGCTTCCTTTGGTTTAAGTCCACCACTGGCCTTCGCTACATCTACTCTGCTCTTTTTGTTGACGTCTTTGGGAAAACTTCCATCATTCACACGACGCTTACTGCTGGTGGTTTGCTCATCTTTCAAAAGAAACGAAGCTTTTTCATTCTCTGTATGCCTAGATGAGAAAATGTAAATTATTCTAGTGTCTTTTTTGGAACATTGTGGAGAAATACAAGCAACCCAAATTGTCAGAAGCTCATTTGTTTGAGAGTTCATGGTTTGTAAATGAATACATGTATTTATGTATTTATTTGTTTTATTCAATTTATATAGCTGCTCATCTCACAGACATGATTCTGGGCAGCTTACAAGATTAAAACACAAACAGTACCAGAAAACTAAAAAATAATCATACAAGCATCAAAACAATTAAAGCTACCGTACAATCAACAGGAGAACACAGTCAATTCAGGAATAATATAACCATTTTAAAGGCTTTGCACCACCACTATCTGATCCCCAGGATAGATGGCAAAGCCATGGCTCCAGGCCTTTTTGGAAGGCCAGCAAGGTCGCAGCCAGTCTGACTTTGGGGGGACTGATGTTCCATAGGGCCACAGGAATTTTAAAAATAAGTATCTGTACAGGTAGTCCTCAGTTAATGACTACTCATTCAGCAACTGTTTGAAGTTGCAACGGCACTGAACAAGTGGTACTTATGACCAGTCCTTGAAATTCCAGCTGTTGCTGCACCCCCACGGTCACATGATCATGATTTGGGCACTTGGCAACTGGCTTGCCCTTACGACAGTTCCACTGTCCCACAGTCATGTGATTGCCATTTGTGATGGCTTCCCACAAACAACGTCAACGGGGAAGCTGGCAGGGAAGGTCACAAGTCACTGTGGTAAGTCCCCCGGCCTTCCTGCACTTCAGCCCTGCTGTGCCATCCATTAGCCTTCCTGTGCTCACGCCACACCATCCATCCCCAGGCCTTCCTGTGCTTGCACCCTGCCATGCCATCCATCCCCCAGCTTTCTTATGCTCATGTGCGATGTGCGCAGGGCCTCCCAAGACATATTCCAGGCTTCCTGCCTCGCACCTCATCACACTGCCCATTGCCTGGCCTTCCTGCGCTTGTGCCCTACCATGCCGCCCATCCCCCAGCCTTCCTATGCTCATGTGTGACCTGCGCAGGGCCTCCCAAGCCATCTTCCAGGCTCCCATAACTCATGTGTGGCCTGTGCCAGCTCTTCCAGGGCCTCCCCTGGCCTCCCCCACTCCCCATGGCACCCCCCCACTCCTTACCTGGGACTCCTGCTGCTTCTCACTTAATGACCTGCATGTCTTGGGGTTTGATGGCAACCAGGACTGGCAGGATTGTGGTTGCTAAGTGATGTGGTCATGTGACATCACACTTTACAACCACATCGCTTAGCAAAGGCAATCCTGGTCCTAATTGCCATCACAACCTGAAGACTACCTATATACCTTTTCACTGCCAGTGAAATGGCAGAATATTAGAACAGGAATAAGTCTTGCAGCAATATGAGACAGATCACCTCTCAGCTAAATTGGAAACTTTAGACAGCAGACAGCTGTGTCCTTTACTATTACTTCACAAGCTTCCAGAATATGTTGGGTTCCTCATCATATGTGTGAGCAGCATATTATGGATTCCAGAATCCATTTCCATTTAACTTCCAGAATCTTTTCAAGTAAGATGGCTTGGCTAAATAGAACCATTCCCTTTCTCTCCAAAACTTTACAGTGTGGTATGAAGTTCTTCCCTTCTCTAGAATTTAGCACCTATCAAATTATTGTTATTACTGAATTTCGTTATGGACAAGAACCGTAAGTCTTTCTATCAATTGCATTAGTAATATGCCAACATTTCCATAAGAATGTTTTCTTTGTTGTCCAAAATTTCTAAACTGGATTTGGCCACAATCCAACAGGAAGTTTTCTTGTGCAAGTTTTGCCTGTGTGGTTCCAGTTTATGACAATGTGTCTGTGCAGAAAAATTTCATTGTACAATGAAAGCCAAGACTTTAGAGGATTATAAGTAATGCAGGACTAACATTAGGACCAAGTGTATCAATATAGCATGTTGAACAGGTTTCGTATTGTTGTCAACAATTGTTATGTTAACAATTATTTCAACATCTGCTCAAGCCAACTAGAAAAAAGTATATATTGAGTTCTTTTTATCTCAGAATGCCAAGACCAGAAGGCCAACACTACAAAAAAGTAGGCCTAATAGTCTAGGCCCTTGCTTAATGCAGGAAATTCAGAATGAGAAAATTCTGGTCAGATGGCAAACGAATTTCTACTTCACAGCTTTTAGTGAGGAGGTATCTACAGTCACACGATGGAGTTAATTCCATTGTCCAACTACTCTTACATTCCATACATTTCTCCTAATTCTCAACTGAAATTTATCTTTCTGCAATATGTTTACTCTTTGACTTTTGCTTTTGTCCATCTGATAGTCCTTCAGTGCTACTATGTCCATCCCCCTCAATCTTCTCTTTCCATATTGGAAATAGTGTTTTTCTTAAAAAATGCCTATTAAAAGTTGTGTGTTGTCTATGCTTGTGTGTGGATTATCTTTAATCTAATGGTCTAAAGTGATAGCTTATGTATACAACAAATCCAACTGCTACAGTTCAATAAGCAGTGCATGATGCTGTAAGAATAAATATAAAGGGGGAGAGTATGATATTGAAAACATACTTGACATCTGGATCTCCTATTGGATCTTTTCTTTGGGATGTTGTTTCTGATACTTCTGTTTTTTCATCCCTGGTAATATCTTTTCTTTTATCATCTTCTCCCACATTCTCTGGACTTTCTTTGGATCCATCATGCTTCTTCACGAGTCCTACAGCATCACCTTCTGTATCTGGGCCACTCTGACTCTGGCTGGCTTCATTGCTATTCACTTCTGCCTGATTCTTTCCTGTGGTCTTCTGAAGAGAACTTTTCCAACTATTGCTATGACTTCGCTCTGCACACACTTTAGACTCATTGAGGTCAAGAGACTTAGGCGAATTTCTCTGAACAAGAAAAGTGCTTGCCTTCTCAGTATTCTCCTTGTTGAGTTTATGGACCTTTTCTACATGAGAATATGATTCTGACTGTTCATCAGATTCATCTAGAACTAAGAAAAAATACCAATGATTTCAGTGAAAGGAATATTTATGCAACATCATTCAGCTGTTTACACAGTAGAAACCTGCTTCTCTCTTTTGAAAGTCAGGGACTTTCCAACTTCTGAGGTGAAGTGCTCATCCACTAAGAGTCTAAATATATTATAAAGAATATATTCCTCTTCCTACTCAAGAGGTGCTTCTAGTTGGAGGATTCTGACTACTGCTATTCATTGCTCTTCTGTTAAAACATGTCCATTCATTTTCCACATGTCAGAGCATCACTTCCAAGTAGCATAGGACTGCAACCCATGTGTTACTGGGAAGCATGGAAGAAGATGTAGGTCAGTAACAGACATCTCCCATCTAAAATGTACAACTACACCCCAGGTAAATTCTATTGGTATGCAAAAGGCCCAATGCCAAAAGAAGGCAGGAGAATATTCTTTTCATCCTTCCTGTTTAAAAATTCTGGAACCGTAAAAAACTCCGAAAGGAAACTTTACATGGGTGCAGAACCTTGCATTCATTAATTTAATTTAATTTAATTTAATTTATTTAAATTTATTGGCCACCCAACTCCAATGAACTCTACAGTTAATATACAGTTAATGTGTTCATCCCATTCAGAAAACAAATTTTCAGTTGTTCGTCTGATATTTTTGGCCTTTTTAAAAAACAAAACAATTTATTTACACTGCATTCAAAACAGATGCATCTGTATTCATTAGATCCCATAGGTTTTTACATGCCAGGATTTAAATATATATATATATAAATTTTGATTTGGGTTATCATAGGACTTGTTCAGTAGAATAAAGGCAAGAAGTTAATAGAGCTGACACTACTCACTAATATGTATGTATGTATGTATGTAAGTCCAAAAATATCAGACGAACAACTGAAAATTTGTTTTCTGAATGGGATGAACACATTAACTGTATATTAACTGTAGAGTTCATTGGAGTTAAATTTCTGTTGCAGTGAGCAACACAACTTCTCTAGAATTTGGCTGAGCAACACAACTTCTCTAGAATTTGGCTAACTTCTTGCCTTTATTCTACTGAACAAGTCCTATTGTAACCCAAATCAAAATTTCTGTTGCAGTGAGCAACACAACTTCTCTAGAATTTGGCAAACAAGTTACAGCAACAGATAATTAAGTGGATGCAGTGTGCTTAATTCTATCTCATACTTCTAAATACTGGTAAGTAACATGGCTGATCTAGTTACAGGAATGAGGTTATGCAATGCTGGCACAAGAAAAATACAACTAGCTGATCTAGAGGGGATAGACTTGGCACCAGTCCCGTGGGCAAAAAGCCAAGGTTAAGAAATTTCATCCCAGAATGCCCTGGGGTGAAAAACCCTATTTTCCATTTGACAAATCATAGTCTCCCTGTCTAGGGCACAAAGCTGCAAAAACAATACCACTCGTGTTAGTTTTGAGAGAAAGAAAGAGAACTCTAACCTGAGGAATCGGGCATTTTTTTCTTTTTTATAAATTTTGTTCCCTCTGCAGTAAGATATGACTTTTCCTATGGGAAAAACAAGCAAACAGGTCAAGGTTTCATAACATATTTCCTTTGTAAAATGTTGCATTTCCTTGTTCTAAGCACAGATTTTCCATGACTGCCAATCAAAATCGAACTCTGACAGCATCTGTAATTATTTCCTCTTTCTGTCACCATTACCTGAATTTTGTAATTATGCAATATACCTCTCTGAACTGGCTGGGGTTCCCTTAAAGAAGGAATTCAGAGTCTGGTCCCTGCTGCTGAACAACAAAGTCTGTTTATTTCATGGAAAGGTATGTGCTGACTCCCACAAGCTGTTGCGTATGAAAATGTACTTGAGGATTTTACTCTCTATTCACTATTTGGCCTTCATAAAGGCAGAATTTTTAATCTGAAATTCTCAGTGGAATGTCTGCGGAGAAGGGAGAAGGCTGTGAATCTACTACTTTCTTTCTGATCCTTAAACAAATGATGAGATATGTAAAGTTCTGTTTTTGCCCTGAGAGCAAACACACACAATCAGGAGTAGATAAGTTAGTGTACATGGGTGTGCACCTCCATGCCGAAAATCCCCACCCCCATAAAAATCAGGAATAAATGAGTTGTGGATTGATGACATGTGTTCTCTTGTTCTCTCTCTGCATGTGAACTGGCTATCTACTGACTTAATGGAAAGACTGACCAATATTATTCCACATGGTCAAGGTTTAATGCTATGTTTAATCACTGAAATGTTTTCTGTATGTTTGATAATTACTTTTTCTCTTTTTTCAGTTCCTGTTTTTCTTCTTTTTGTATTTTTCTCTCCCTCTGTTTCAGCATATTTAACAAGTAAAGATCAAAAGCAATAAATGAGCAGCAAACCAAACAAACAAATAATGAGTACTTTCTTCCATAGGATTATTTTTTAATTAGTTGATTTGTCAAGGTTACATCTTCCCTCCTCCTGACATTGCTAACTTTATAAATTATAGAACATATTTCCATTTTCTGATGAAACCAAGGTGAGCAAAATTCTGTGCAAACCTTAAAATGGTCTACTGAAGTTATAGCAACATAAACGCATGAAATGACAATGAATTCTGGTGAGCTGTAGTGAAATAAAGTAAGCCAGTTAATTTTTAAAACAGTTAATCTAGCAGTCTATTTTAGGGACCTGCAACAAAGACATGGCTGATTGTTTCAAAACAATGTAAGACTCCAACTTTGTTCAATTTCCATATTCTTTTGTGACCCTAAATAAGGAGGCATGCCTTTCCAGACATCTCTCCTTCATTTTAATTTATTTTTAAATGAATATATAGTCAGTTTGTAATATAAAGGTATCCTAACAACACCTAACAAAAAAATTGACACAAATCTTATATCTACAGCAATGGAAATGGTTTTCCAACAACTATATTTTGTCTTGCATTCCAAAACTATATAAAGCAGAGACATATGGCGTTTTTCTCAGCTGAGTGCCATATTAGCTTTGGATGTGCATGCTGGGACAGAGAAAATTTCCAGAAAATAGGCAGAGCATGGACAACAGTGTCTATTTTTTCATATTACAAATTACAATTTGGAAACAATTTCTGAAGAGGCTCTGGGTGGCAATGCCTATGTAGTCCTCAAGTTTTGCAATGCAGATGTAAGCATCTGGTCTTTTTCAAAGCAATGTCTTCCATGTCCTAATTATTTCACCCACGCTATCCCTTCAGCAATGCCCTTTCCACACAGATTGCAACTGTAAGAAGTATGTTTCCAACACTAACAAAAAATGTCTTCACCTTCTTCTTGACAATGGCTAATGTTTTTCTCTAGTTGGTCAATGAGACAGCACTAAAGATGGCACCAGCTGCCTCCACTTCTGCCCTTTCTTTGTTTTTCCTTTGCGGCATTTTTTGTGGCATGTTTTAAAAATACCTGACTGGCAATTGCGGATGGTTGCAAGATGTAATGAGAAGTCTCAGGAATCCAAGGAGTGAATGTGGCAGAAGGGGTCTTATTTAGGACAATTGTTTACAATAATTCCACATATGAATTATACCACATGGCAACATTCTGGTATTTACTGTGGCCATTTATCCATTACTAAATGTACAGCTTCTGATAAGTTCTTCTATCCAATTATTGCGGAGCTGGTATAGCAATAACCAGGATCGGCTTTACATCACCTCCACAATGGCTGAATGATGCTAGAAAATACTGTACATTGCTACTGGGGAAATGGCATATACTTTAATCACTACAGGTAGTCCTCGACTTATGACCACAAGTGGGACCAGAATTTCTGTTGCTAAGCGATGGGGTCATAAAGCAAGAAGTCACATGACCGCATTGCTTAGTAACCATAATCCTGAGAATCCTGGCTGCCATCGTTAACCGAAAATCGCAGGTTGTTAAGTGAGTACCCACGCCAATCCAAGCCATTCCGGTCTTGGTCCCTCCCAGCCCCAAGCCTCAGTAAGATAAGGGACTGCCTCCAACTCCCCTGACCCGCCTATCTCCTCCTCATCTCTGCCCTTCTGGCCACCCTGCACCCTGCCTTGCCACACCCCAGGAAGCCATAGCCACCCCAGCCCAGTCCCCGCCGCAGCCACCCTTGTCACCCTGAACTCCGAGAGCCCTGCCACCCTGTGCTCTGCTGCCCCAGCTGAACCTTGCTGCCCTTTGCACCACACTCCTGAGCAGGGCGGGGCTGGGCTTTTGCTTTGAGCTGTGGGAAATAAAAGCCAAAAGCCCAGCCCAGCCCCACCCAGGAGTGTGGCACAAAGGCACGTTTTGGTGCACTGCACTCCAGGAGCTTTTTGTAAAGGGGCTTTTTGGCATGTTGGAGGTCTGAGGCTGCTTTTGGCTGTTTCTTTTTTCTTCACAGTCAAAGCCCAGCCCAGCCCAACAGCCAGGCTAGGCACACCTCGTCAGCAGCGGGAGCAAGAAGATGGCAAATGTCAGCTGGGGAGGCGGAGCTCAGGGTGGCGGGGGGGGAAAGGGCATAGATGGGGGGGAGATAGGCAGGTGGAGAGAGTTGAAGAGGCCCTGCAGTCATAAGCATGGGCAGGCTGCCAAGCACCCGAATTTTGATCACATGACCATGGGGGTGCTGCAACAGCCGTAACTTTAAGCACCGGTTGTAAGTCACTTTTTTCAGTAACTTAGGTCGCGGAACAAATGGTCATAAGTCTGTATTAGCAGTTAAGTCTCCTTTGGGTCAAATTCAACTCCTGTTGATGTCACAGACTTTTCCATGTCCATGTTTCCTGGCAACTATACAAAAGTGATTTGGGGAAGTCTTTCTGAGTTTCCAGTCTAGTCTACAGCCCTAGAATTTGGGGGGGGGGGGGGGACTTTGATACAAGTCCTCATCAGATCTGATCCTGTTTAATTCTTCAAAATCATCCATCTGGCTGGGTATTTTCACTGATACAGTCAAATAGAATAACTTTCCTTCTTTTTCTATTGTCCCTTTTGACCTGGCACTTGATAGGGGACATTAGGATCTAAAGTTGATCTTTCTTCCAGAGTTTTAGGGTAACAGCCTATAATAATTTAACATCTAAAATATAAGAGATTCTCAGAGTTCTCTGAAGCAAATTAACATTCCCATTACTTAAAAGCAAAGCAGGACTAATCTAAAAAATGTTTTCACCCAGAATTTGTTAACATTTAAAGAAAGAAGGTGATTTGAAACTAATAGGTAGCTTCTAACTTTAACTGACATTTGAAAGCAACAACAGGCTTTAAAAAAACTGGCAAAATGGTGATGGTGGTTATCAGTGAATTTATAGTATAACTTGTTGGGGACTATTTTTTCTGTAGTCTCCAGTGCTTCAGTGACATCTAGAGGACGCTTTTATGAATATATTGCTCCCAGAAAAGTACACTATTAACTAATGGGGGAAGGGATAGATCACGCCTGGATTAATCCCAGACAGATCTTTCGTATGAGCGTTCCATTTTCAAAAATAGTTGGCCAGATACTTCTGAGCTAATCATCTATCATTTGTCCTCCCACTATTTTGTTATTTCAGGTACACTGGCTATAATTATGGCTGATAAATATTAAATAACTTAAGTATTTTAAGCTAAAATTGCTGACTGGAGCTAAAATAATAAAGAATGCAAGATATAAATGGTATCTTCAACGTTTTGTGTGAAAATGCACAAAAGATTAAAAAAGGAAAAGGAAACCACTATAACTGAAACCCTCTCCTTGAACTTTACAGCATTTTATTTATTTAAGAGTCCCTGAGGATTGAGATAGTAGATAAACAATTGACAAGTTTAATATGAACAAATGTACAAAATAAAGAAATAAATACTAAAATTTGTCTGAAATTAATCTGAAAACCAACTGCACAATCAATTAAAAAATACACTAGGCACAGATATTAAAATAGCACTAATAAAACTAATTATAAGTCCACATTTCAGCATGAATAGAAAATTAAAATTAAAAAACTATCCTCAGTAAACATGCATAAATCCAAGTTACAAATGTTTCAGGTTGTAGCATCCCTAGGAATGCTGGTAGGGAATAGGGGAAGACCCACTTCCAAGTAAGTCTAGCTAAGACTGAGCTTTATATAATTATCATGGCATCTTTCCCACTGAAACCCCACAGCACAACACATGGAAATATTACTTGCAAAGATGTTAATCAGTGATTTCCCACTACAAAAGGGATCACAAATGCAGAATGAGCATAATTATGTCAAAGAGCTATTTAAATCTACAACTTCTTAAAAAGAATTTCCATAATTGAATCTAGGCATTCATGTAGTAAATGAATCTGTCAAAGAGGCATCATGAGTGTTTCCCTAATATAAATTTAAAAAATAATTTTGATCTGAAAAGAGATAAGAAAGGTGACTTTCAAGAGGTGTCTAAACAGTTTGTGTCCCAATTATTTTCCCCTCCCACAACATCTCCTCCACAGTGGCCAAGCAGTAAGATAAATCATGGAGGCTCAAAATACCATTGTACAACTCTGTGAGAAGCAGGGCGTTCTTTGCTGTAATGGCTGTAGAATTCCTTCT